ATAGGAAGAATTTTTTTTCTAGATGCAAAGTAACACTTGTTATGATCATATTGTTTGATATGTATTTTGAATTAGATTCAAAGTGTAATATCCAAAACTGACACTCATTATAATCATTTTAATTGACTTATAAACACTTACTCTATATATGAAGCAAATAAAAAGAAATGGGATAAAAAAAAAAAAGAAGAACATAAGTACGAACCTTTGTAAAAATAATAAAAGTAAGCAAATTTCCTCCATAAATTTTTAAAAACACCATAAAATTGTCTATTTATCACCATTTAATTCACGACATAAATCAAGCTGATCCTTGAATATAGTTGAAGCCCACAGTTGCACATCAGAACTACCATTATGGATGTTAGAGGAAAAAATAGGTGGTAAAGGAATATTTGGTGGCAAGTGGAGGGAAATATAATGATTACTCCATACGTAATCTAAATTGATGTATATAGATGGTGGTTGATAAACCAATCCAGTCTCCAATGGTAAGAATGTAACAGATTGATCTTTAGACCAACTTGTCACAATTCTTTGATATCTAGTAGCGATTACCATGCTCAAACCTAGTGTATCATACCAATTATGAAATGGAGCTGGAAACTTATCACAATTTACCACATTAAGCATTCTATTATACTCTTCTATACTTCCCAATGCTTCTCTATTTCTATATAACTCCACATGCTTGGTTAACTCATTTTGCAAGTCACGCCGTACATCGAGCCATTTATTCTCATCACCATACTCAAAAGTGGTAATTACTCGAAAACCACAATTTCCATCACCACGCACATTTATGTGTCCTTCAACATAAGGCAATATGAATTCGGGTAATTGGAAAGGCCATGGAAATGAATATCTATTTGACTTTGTTGTTTTCTTTTTCCCTTCACGTAATGTATTAAGTTAGAATTTTTTATTTATTAACAACACGTACTATTATTAATAACAGTAAAATAACAGCAATACCTTTTGATTTGTTTTGGGAGGTTGGTACATGTTCAGTACGACTGTCTTTTACGCTCTTTTTCTTCTTCGGTTCTATATATGTTATATATTATAGTTATTTTTAAGATAACTACAAAATACATCACATAATTAATCAAATATATAAAATAAAAAATGTACCTTTTGATTTTTTTGAAACATCTTGTTTAGGATCTTTATCGAATTCTTTTTTTTCTTCGATCCGCACATAAGTATACATTAGAATTAAAGAAAAATATGTTTGATAAAAACAAATATAGTTGTTAAGTTCACCTTTAGTAGCATTCTTCTTAGAATGCTCCCAACCAGATTTATCCCTCTTTGTTGGATTATTTTCTGGACGACCTTTGTGGGGGCGATATATTGGCTGTTTCAAATCGGTAGATTCGGGAAACAGTATATTATACATTGCATTTGCAAAAAATTATAGTTGATCTGGAGTGTATTGTTTCATCATTGCTACTAATTCGTCTATTCGCTGTGAAGATGTTTGTCTTATACCCTATTCTCTTGAAAATTTCGTCCCTTCATATCCATAGTCTTCTAGAATATATGGACATCTAATAAAGCAATTGGAGTATACGTATTCATTAATTCGCACATTTCATGGGTACACGGTAAACCATAACTATTCCTCATTTCACATCCACAAGCCTAAGCATTTGTACCTATTTTCTTACATCTTTCATTACATTCCTTGTTTAATAACGAAATAGCATGATGAGATACCTTACACTTAAGACGGCTAAATAACTGATATCTGGTGATGTGCAAACTTTTTGTACGAGATTTTTTCATTTCATTTTTGATTTCATTAAGTTGCATCTCTACTAAATCATGAATTTTTGGAAATATCACATGAAAAGCTCTAGTAGACGTTCCTAACCAATTCTTCAATTGAGATTGTGTGTTCTCCACCCTACGAAAATATATTATGATAATTATATTTTAAAATATAAATATGCAGTATTATAATTAATAATCATAAACTATAATTATATCATAAAATTTACCTATTTGTCGTACGAGCCCCAAGATGAAGAATTTTTTTGGTCCAAGCGGATACAAATCTCTTTTTATAAGGATCTAGCCATATTCTGTGAACATAATCAACTACTGTCGATAAATTAGGACTCCACGCATATACCATTTCAGCAACGGCCACATTGTATTTCTCCTCTGTTAAAGAATCGGCTATTTTTTTCCACCTAATTGAAAAAGGTTTTGCAAATATCTTATTGAAAAAAGTCATAAAGATTAAGTCTTTTTGAAAGGATTTGAAGCACCCACTTAAAGAAAAGGTTTTATGGCTTTTATGTCAATAAATTTGGTTGATTAGTAAGGTTTAAAGTGTATCATAGTTGCTAAAATTTGTGAGAATAGTAGATTAATTATAGTTATGTATTCTTATTTGTAGGAAGTTTCGAGCTAGGTGATTACTAGCGAGTGGCCGAGTTTAGGCATTTTTCAAGGTACATTTGTGCATAAAAATATTTGTGTATGCGTAGTATCATGCTAGGATTGTAAAGTATGATGTAAGTGATGAATTAGTAGCATGTTTGGTTGACTAATTGCTTAGAATTGATGTTGGTTAAGCATGAATTTTTATGCAAGTATGTGAATATGTTATTTGAAGGATGATACAAGTTGAATATGTATGAATCATGGAAGTATGTTTTATTTTCAAGTATCAAGAAAGCATGTATTTAATAATCAAGGCTTAAATATGAATTAAAGAGCTAAAGTTATATTTATTGAACATGATTCATGAGTTTATTTCTCACCCATTTTTTATTGGTGTTGAGTCAAGCTGTTGGTTTATTTATTTACTCACTCATGTAATTTGAGTTGAGTCAAGGAAGTTTAGTAGTGCATTTTATGCACCAAGGTAGTAATCGTGCAATTTTATGCACAAAACTAGGCAAGGAACCTTAATTAAAATAAATAGTATATGCTCACTAATTAATTCAAGAATGAATTGGAAGTATGTATTGATTGTTATTATGTTTGTTCTTGATGGATTGGTTTGAGTCATCACAAGTTAAATCGGTGAATCACGTAAAGTGTAAAAGGATACGCACTAAAACTCTTGGAACATATATACCTTGAGTATGAACATATAGGGGGAGTTATAGGGTTTTATATTTAACCATACCTTCTACAGGGGTACAGGACGTTGTACTTTCTTTCATTATTAATGCGTTGGAATTCGTCACAAGGTGACATAATAGGTGCCAATTGGGGTAGCTCCCTAATTGGAAGCTCAATATTTGAATGGGCTATTTTCAAGGAAGGAAACCCGTTTGATGCGTAATCCAAAATTATTATTAATAATTAATATTGCTAGTTATGAGTCAAAGGTAAGTTGACTTGTGTTTGTGTGGCGAGCATGTTTAACTTATTTTTAATTTGATGCTAGGATATTCATGTTAGTGTGGTGCATATGTTCTTAGCTTTGCTGATTCGTACTTTGTTGTTTGTGTTTGGCTTTCCTTAAGATTTTTCCTACTATGACTCATTTATATGGTGAGTAGAGAGTTGAGTAAAGAGGAAGTAACATGTACTTGAAGCATGAAGAACATGATGGGATTTAGTGCAGAGAGTTACTTGTTATGTTTCTTAGTTTTAATATTTTTGAATTATTGATTTGTTATGGACTAACATTATTATGTTTGTTTTTAATTGGTTTTTAAGAATGGGCCATGTTTGAATTGGTTCCAACTTGTGAATGTTTTATTCTACTTTTGTTTTGAGGTTGTGAACTCAGGTTTTAATTTTTAAAAGTTGGTTTTATTTTTAGACTTCCGCTGTGTGACTTGGAAAATTTGCCTTAGCCATATCACAATGGCGGTAATATTTTGACTATTTCCTAAAAAGGGTTTTATGTAGAGTAAAAAGAGTATTTTAAAGGAAGGAAATTTCCAAGGGTATTACACCTTTCCCCACCAGAAAATCCTGCCCCTACCCTAGAACGTCCCCCTTGCCCCTTCCCCTGGAAAATGTCGGACCCTCCTCCCCCACCCACAAAACCTCCCCCTGTCGATTCCGAGGGTGGGGAAAGGAGGGAGGTGGTTTCAATGGTTGGGGAAGGGAAGGGGGCGTTTAACTGTGCGGGGAAAGGAGGAGGAGGTTTCGGGGGTGGAGGAGGAAGGCTCTAGGAGGATTAGGGGTAAAGGAAGGGCGAGAGTGATGTTTCGGGTGGGGGCTAGGTTTTGTAGCGGGGGAAGTGGTTATGATTTCTGACGAGGGGATGGGAAGGGGTTGGGGTTTTACGTTGTGGAGGGGGAATGTGTGGGGGGCGAAGAAGGGTTTTTGTTTATTTATTTTTTGTTCATTTTGATATTTTTTTTAAATTTGATTGATTAAATTGTGACAAGTGGCATTTAACAAAAATAAATAAAAAATGTAACCTTTTAATTATGAAACTGGTCATACACAAGTATTATATTCTTGTAAAGTACAAGTTACAACGCTTGTAAAAAAACTTCTAACAATTTGATAAATTTGTTTTCACCTTTGGTAAGGAGTTAAATATAAGCATATTTGTTAAATATTTGAAAAAAAAAAAAATTACTACTCCCTCCATTTCCCTTTGATTGTCCTATTTAAAATCTTTAAAAATTACATATCTTATAATGATTACATTAATAAATAATATTATTATTGTTTTACTCTATATTTGACCATCATTATCATTGTTGTGTATAACAAAATTTATAAAATGTTGAATTGATAATATTACACATTAAAATAAATCTTATATGCCTATTTTTTGGTATTCATTAATTAGAAATTTTGTGCCAAAGACTAAAATTTTAACCATAAAAATAAAATTAAGCATTATATTATGAGATGAATGAAGTACACCATATAATTTCAATACAAAACACTTATAAAATGAGGTCACTTTTTAAAAATAGAAGTTGAATTTGCTAACTCCTAAAATTCCTCAATTTTTGGCTATTTCAATGGCTTGTCTTTTACGTGTGTGGAGAAGTAGTGTGAAAGAAAGAGAGTCATTGGCATCCATTTTTTTCTCCTATTTTTCATGCGAAGTTAAAATGACATATATTTTTAATTATTTTTACTAAAAATCTAAGATGTAGTTACCTTTTTTTACTCTTTTTTTCTTCATTTATTATTACGTATCTACCCAAATGATTTTATATTATACACCTAAATAATGGATAAAGAGAAGAAAAAGTTTCCGATTGGACCAGAGCACTACACCTTGTTAAAGAAAATAGGTGAAGGTGTTAGTGCATTGGTTTATCGTGCTCTATGTATACTTAACAATGAGATTGTTGCCATCAAGATCCTTGATTTTGAACATTGCAATAGCGATTTGGTAAATTTGATTGCTTCTGCTCAGATTTAATCAATGTTACTTTCATATGTTATACTTTTGTAATTTATGTTGTACTTTTTTTGTTCACAAATAATTTTTCTGTTAGATTTAGACACACAAATATGTTATAGAATTTAGTAGGATAACGTGAGATTATGAGATAAAGAAAGTTAGTGGAAGGGTCCATATCAGAGTAGTTTGCAGCATATCGTTATAATGTGTTTATTAGATTTTGCAGAAAAACATTTCTCGTGAATCTCACACAATGTTCTTGGTCGATCATGCAAATGTTCTAAAATCACACTGTTCATTTGTTAATGATCACAATTTGTGGGTGGTCATGCCATACATGGCTGGTGGTTCATGTCTTCATATTTTAAAGGCTGCCCATCCAGACGGATTTGAGGAAGTGGTCATAGCCACAATATTACATGAGGTTTTGAAGGGTTTGGAATATCTCCACAATCACGGCCACATACATCGAGATGTTAAAGTAAGTAATTTAGCCTTTCAATAATTGTTAATCATAATGAAGTGACATTAAAGATTTTACGTAGGATGAAATTTATATATTATATTAAAGCAGACACTTCTCAATGCTAAGGTGTATTAGTTAACTTGTGGTGCAAAAATATTCACCACACCATTATATAATCTATTCTTAGAATATATTAAACCCCATTTTATTTAACGTAATCCTCCTAAAGCATTATATGTAGTATATATTTAACAATTATTTTTGCTTCTTATTAAACTGATATTGGTATTAGTCAAATGCCATAGATGCTATTAAGAATTATAATAGTTTATTATCTAGATATTATATTATTAAAGTAAAACGTACAATTTTATTTGTACTGAATTTGTTAATATGTTCATTATTTGACTTCAATTATGAATACAATGTTTTACCTTTGTAACCATATACGTAGTATTTATTAGTATATCTAAATATAATAAATTATTAACTAATAATCTATAGTAACATATGGAAAAATTGTGTAATTAATAGCTCAAAATATTTCACATTATTTTAAATACTTCATATTTTAAATGAGTACATTGAAAAGTAAATATTCTTTTAACCTGAATCCTTAGATAATATTTCTTGATTTTTTTTATAAACCAATTGACAAGTTTTGAATCGGGAGTAATAATTACACTAGCAAATTTAATCTAGAGAAAAAAGAAACAAACTTATCAACACTATTCCAGATTTCAAATTTATTAACAATATTTCGGATTTAGCTTGGGTAAAAAGCTAGCCCAACGTATAATATTCTAAAATATAAGCGCATAGATGCAAAACACTTTCACATGTTTTTTGTTAAGTTATGATTATCCTTAAAATTTAGAGTGACATGTAACTTCGTACTTTAACCTATGTTTATGACATATAAAGTTGTATAAATGTTTGTTTCCTCTTTTGGTAAGATAAGTTGTGTAAATTTTAATTTTAATAATTAAAATAATAACTCATTCAAAATTAATATAATCTTAATATGTAAACACTATAACCCCTAGAAGGTGTAAATAGAAATTATGCAAAAGAGAAAACAAGATAAAATGCGAGACAACCCCTGTTGGAAATAAAAATAAAAAAGTAGGACCATAATATAACAAATTACTCCCCATATCACCTCATTATTCCTAATTAATGCCTAACTAAACCCAATTAATTAAACCAAACCCACTAACCAAATTTAATCCCCCGCACGTAACACCAACAAGCTAAGGAAAAAAAAATGTTGAGAGAAATGATTTTGGCAGAATTATATTGAGAATATAGTTTTTTATGCTATTCTCGAGAAGGTATATTTAAATCAATCAAAGGTATGCCAAAATCAATTTTCACCGTTTGATTCTCTTTAAAACCAAAATATTTTGATAAATAATATAGTATTACCTTTGTTTATTTAATTTGTTCAAATTTAGAATATCTATACTTTATTTGACCAATTTATATAATCTTCTCTTTTCATAATTATAACAAAAAACAGAGTAAAAAGAACTCAAAAATTCTACTTTAATTTTTTCTCACAAAGACATATCAAATAAGATGTGATAAAAAAAAAGAATGAATTGAGTAAGTTGAATGACATATATTGGAAGTTATAATTGCATATAATTTCTTTTCTTAACCTCCTTTCTTTTTTACTTTTGTGTAGATCAATTGATGATATACTACTTGTATAATTTTATTTTATTGATACATTTATGCTTTTAGGTTTACTAGGCTTTCTATTCAAATTCGCTCATTTCCATCACATGTAGATCAGGTTATACAAATTTGTATCACTAAGCAAATAGAAGAAAAATGTTATAGTTGCCTTTAAAACAATAGTAAATAAAATAGCGTGCAAGAACACCTGAATTGATAGCTCTATTTGATAGGTATTTCACGTAGTCCATGAAAAGTAAAAAGTAAAAAAAAAAAAAGTAAATCCATGTCACTTAATATGAGTAACAAATTGTGTTACTAAAGGGTTAAAATTGTCTTTTCACTAAATAAATTCTGGATAATAATGTAACTTCCTTTCTCTTATCCCCTTTTCAGTTTTCAGCGTATTCATCTAGTTTCTCACGCCTCTTTTTGCCAGTGCTCTGAAATTTTCCATTGAAGCATGGAGTTTGTTCTTCAATATTAAAATAATAAAATATTGTTAAATTTACTATTATTTACAATTTATGCCATTTGAGTAACAAAAATTGTTACTAAAAAAATATTAATTTGTCATCCTTTTTTTTTGTCAATAATATTAAATAACCTTCATTTTATTTAACAGGCGGGTAATATTCTCATTGGTTCACGTGGTGCTGTCAAGTTGGGAGATTTAGGTGTTTCAACATGCTTATTTGACTCGGGAGACAGGCAAAGAACGAGAAATACATTTGTTGGGACTCCTTGTTGGTACAAGTTTTTCCATTAAATGTACCATTTTGCATTTTGAATTATTTATCATGTTAGCGTTTTCAAACATCATAATTTGATTACACATCCTAAATATTGATTATAACCTTGAAAGTTAAAATAAACACCAAGACATACCTTTTCACTATATGATATTGAAATTGGCTAAACAAACTCATTTTCTCTTATAGAGAAAAACAATTGAATTTTATATGGTTTCAATGATTTATGGCAATTATAATAAATTATGACATTATCGACCTTGAATTTGTGCTTACAATAACTATACTTCCTCTGTACTTCAAATATTTTCTTGTTTTAATTATAATTGTGACTTAGCATCACTCATTTCACTTTTGTTTTATTCATTATTAGAAAAAATATATTTTTTTTTCCTTTTCTGTTCCCTCTTGTGGAGCTTATTTGATTTCATACTCCTTCACTGTTATGAATTAGGTAGTGTAATGTTAAGTTTTTATAATATAATACCTCAATTCTTCTTTTGTTCTACCCACTTATCATTCATTGGTTCAAACTAAAAAAATTTGATTGTCCATGGTACATATGTACAAATATAAAATTATTATATGTGATCTTTTTAGAATTGTTTCAATGTGTAATTTCGAAATATTAAATTTTCATAAGTCACCTTAGAACGTAATCAATGATAGAGTTGGTCAAACATGCACCCTAGTTATGGCACAAAATACAAGTTTATATATATATATATATATATATATATATATATATATATATATATATATATATATATATATATATAAAAGAAACAATAGAATTACTAGCGATCTTCTTTAAAAAGCCTAATTTATTGATCAACCTATGATTTTTTTTATACCATAATGATTTGTATCTCTATTATATAATCCAATGGGTGGGGTGTGTCTCCTTTAAAATAATATAATACCTCTGTGACCTTATTTTAATAATGGAAAAAAATCAATATTTATATAAACAGAATATAAAATTATTAATTGTTTTAACAATAGACATATTCCTTGTTACAATTATTAATATAGAAGAAAATAACATCTTAAAATTTGATACTAATTCTCCGTAAATAGATGAAAAAACATGTCAAAATTATAAAAGAAAATTTATGTGACATGTTAATTTCATTTCAAATTTTATTTAAAATGATAGATGAAAAATTAATTTCAATTCATATTTTTAATGACTAGGGTATTTAAACAAATAATTCAATAATCAATTAACAACATAATTCTTGCATTACAAAAATAACACACACATTTTGTACATAATGATCTATTAGTACTCTATTTTATTCCTATGGAAAGATATATTAGTCTTAATGACTAATCTATAAAATATAGTAAATAAGGTATTATGAACTTTAAAATACTAGAAGATGGCGACTTTTCCTGTTTCCCATATGGGACGCGTGAGTACAAATGTGACTTGTCAAAAAAAGACAAGCAAAAATAAAACTAATTTTCATTAATAAGATGATGATGGTAAAAATAGTTGAAGACATCAAACACTCAATCAAACTAATTTATACTACTAAATACAAACCAAATACATGGCAAGTAAAGGTATCGATCCACAAGGAAAGGTTATACAAGATTTCTATGATTAAAGGCTTAGAGCTCAAGCTGATTTGAAAACTAGTTGGACGAATTAATCTAAATTCTAATAAAACAAGTTATCAAAAACCTAGGAAAAAGAAATCAAATAAAGCAAGCACTAGGAAAACAGGATCAACTTAACGTAATTATCAAGGATAAGAGATTCAATTCAATTGGTTAAGTGATCGTGCAAACAAAGAATGCAAACGGAAATTATTATTATATTCGAGATCAAATTTTCAAATTCATAAACATAGATTTCACCATGGTTAGTTTATTAGAGAACTTAGAACCAAAATGGAATCAAATACATTGCTTTTAATCATTATTCACATGTCAAATTAAAATCAATATGCAATCATGCTCAATATAATTTGTGTACAATCCACTTACAACAAACAATATGCTAGCTTCATCCAATCAATTTAACCGTAAAATCATCTCTAATATCCTCTTAATTAACTCAATAATCTATGATTAAGCTTCACTAATCCCTCTAGCTAAATGAATACTTGCTAAGCATAGTGAATTTTAAATCAATTAGAGAATTAGATAACATGATCAATTAAATTAAATTAAACATGAAATCAAGCTAATCAAAAATCAAAACCATCAATTAATTTCTAACCATACTTATGATGAAAACAATTAATACTAATGATGAACTAAAAGTATCAAAATTTAATTGCAAGAAAGATAATGATACTCAAATTCAAAGGAAAATGAATTTGTATTACATTAAATTATTGAAGGGATTAATTATTTCTTTCTCTTTCTAATATATAATCAAGCTAAAAATGGAATTCTAATATCTGATAATTAAAAAAGCAAAATAAAGTAGTATATATACTAAAAGGAAAATTAGAAGAAACTATAGATATTATCCAGAAAAACCCAGTCTAGAGCACCCTTGATAGAAATATGCACATCCTAAATGAGTAGGGTGTGACCTGTAGGGACAAGGGTTGCACGTCAGATCACTAAAATTGTGCACCTGTGCTCAAATGTTGTGCGCCCATTTGAAAGCTGCAATGACATCGCGCAAAACTGTTCATGTGCACGCTCTTAGTGATCATGCAAAACTTCCTCATTGATTATAGGAGGCTTTACACTTCTCCCTAGTCTCTCTGTAGCTTGTCTTCATTACTCATGATAGAACGCATGGCCTGAAAACAAATTAAATCTAAAGAAAGATAATGTAAGAGAAATCAAAGATAAATAAAGATGCACCACAAAAGAGAAAAACATAAACAAACCAACAAGAAAGAATACAAAAGAATAATTGTGAAAATGAAGAGAAACTAGTGATAAAGAAGAGGAAAAACCAAACGATAAGAACTAAAATTGTGTCCTAATAAATGTCACTCATTACGAGGTTGTACAAATTTATGTACCACATTGGCATATATGTGCTACTATAGAGCCTGACTGGATAATTCTTTGTGAAATGGTCATAACTCTCTTATTTCGTTTTTCTTAAAACAATGAAAGCTTATGAAACATGGTTTCACTTCCAACCTTTGATTTCTAAATCATATGAAAATTTTGAGATACTTTAAGTCATCCATTTCCCATTTATATTTGATGTCCAGGCATAATGAACAATCACAACCACACTCCTTCTCCAAATGTATATAGAAAATAAAGACTTTAATTTACATAATCTTTCAATTGCTAATAGCAGTGGAAATAACTTTTGGGAAACATAATGTGTATTGATAAAAAATTTCATGACACATTTTACAAATATAACTACATATAAGATGACAATAGAAGTCAACACAATTAACACTCATGACCATATTTACAATGTTAATAGAAGTGGAAAGAAATTTTAAGAGATTAAAAAATTATCGATGTTATTTGTCTCTAGGATGGCACCAGAGGTCATGGAACAACATAATGGATATGATTTCAAGTAAGTATTTTTTTCTATATTGTAATTTTACTAAAACTTTGCTACACAATGAAATTATCATTAAAATCAATGATCACATTTTACAGAGCTGATATATGGTCCTTCGGAATAACTGCTCTAGAGCTAGCTCATGGACATGCTCCCTTCTCAAAGTATCCTCCAATGAAGGTAATATAATCGTAAAATTATGAAATTAATGTATATTTTTATTCATAACTTGATTACATATTATTTTTATTTTAAACTAACAGTTATTTTACAGGTCTTACTTATGACCATACAATGTGCACCTCCTACTCTTAATTATGAAAGGGATAAGAAGTTCTCTAAGGTATATATGATCCTCATTAAGTATTGATGCAACTAATTAAAATTTCCTTCATTACTATTTAAATAAAAACATGTATATTTTTAATCTTGGAAAATTTACCATGACCTACCCTGTATATAGGCTATTTTGTGAACAACTACCCGGTTTTTTTTTTTTAATTTGTGATCAACTACCCCTAAGATGCCTAAAGTTTATCTAGCGCTACCCACTAACGGATTCCGTCCAGTTGAGTCATTTTTAGGGCTCACACCTACGTTTTCCAACCCAATTAACTCTCTTCCCAGTTATTCAGAGTCTTACTATTGTTCTTCCCCTCCCCCCCACCCTCCCCAAACTCATCCAACATACAAAAATCCGAGCAATTCACAATTTCTTACCAAATCAGGTAATGTTTTAAGCTATTGTCGTAATCGTGGCCTATTTAATTAGTTTAGGGGTTTTAATTTACTACAATTATCATAATTAGGGATTCAATTTAGGGTTTATGGCTTCAATACAGTTTGGGGATTTTAATATCTAGGGTTTAGATTATTGAATTAGGGTTTTTTTATTTTTTAGGGTTTTAGGGTTTGAAATTAATCGTGCTTTAATTAATAAGTAGGAAAGAAAGAGACTGTGCATGAGAAGAAAAGAGTTTTTGTTGAAGGGGAAATAATTTTCTTCTCTAAGATTCGCTTAGGTTAAATAAAAATGGTGAAAGCATTAAAGAGAAGGAAATGGAGGAAAAGTTAATGAAAGAGGACAAAGGTAGTTAGGAAGGGAGTTAATTAGTTGAGAAAATATAGGTGTGGGCCCTACAAATAGCTCAATCGGATGGAATCCGTTAGCGGGTAGTGCTAGATAAACTTTAGGTATCTTAGGGGTAGTTGTTCACAAATAAAAAAAAAATGGGGTAGTTGTTCACAAAACTGCCCATTTTCATAGTTCCTAACAAAATTTCCCGTAATCTTGAATAATTTATAAGTATATTTATAAAAAAAAATGATTAATAAAAGTACTTTTTGTTCTTTATTAACCTGATTACTTTTTTAATTCAGTCATTTAAGCAAATGATTGCTAGTTGTTTGGTTAAAGATCCTGCGAAGAGACCTACAGCTAAGAAGTTGATAAAGCATGCATTCTTTAAACAAGCTAGATCAAATGATTACATCACACGAACGCTTTTAGATGGCTTGCCATCTCTTGGAGATCGAATAAAAGCACTGAAGGTTCACTATTAAACATTTACTTTTTATGTTTATTACTATATATACTTTATATACTAATTGTTGTTCTTACTTAACGGTGATTTTCTCACCTAAAAATAGGGATTAACTACAATACCAATTGGCAGAGGGAGTAATTAATTATTTATTATTGATTGATATTATTTATATTCTATTAATAGAGGAAAGAAGAAGATATGCGTGCCGAAAAGAAAATGGCTTATGGTGAGAAAGAGGAACTCTCTCAGGTATAACATATATTTATATATACATTATATTGCTAATGTTATGATTATAAGAAACACTTGGAGAAATTTATTTACAAACATGTTTCATACAAGGTCTTCAAACATTATACTTAAAATCAGAAGGAACTAGAAACAAAAGTTTGTGAAAACTGTAACTCGAGAATAATTAGGAAATTTATTTAACATTATACTTAAAATCAGATGAAATTAGAAACAATGGTTTGTGAAAATTGTAATTACAAGAGTTATCAAGAAATTTACACATACACACGCATACACACGCGCGCAACACACCCACTATATGGTTTGAATTTTGAATCATTGAAGAACGTTTTTGACTTGAAGTAAAACATAACAAAATATTAATGAATTTTGGCGTAGGCTCAAGTTAAAACAAATTTAATTGTTTAGTGATATCGGCCAGCTAACACGTGCAATGCGCGCGTCATAGCTAGCCATGTCCATTGAGCTCTTTTTGTTTGACCTTATGCCACTAATAATTTAATTGTTGGCAATATTAATGAGGGAAAATATGTAAGCAAATATTTTTTACCAAAAATAAATGTCCGCACACTATTTTTAAGTGAATAAAAAGAATAGGCAACTAACATCAATAAGGAAAAATAAGTGAATAAACATGTTAAAGGGTATTAATTTTCAAACACTATTTGTAAGAGTGATCTCAAATTTTAAAAGGTAGGGATTGATAAATAAGTTATCATAATAATTTTATGTATAGTACTCCATTCAAGATGGTATTTCTATCAATTATACCAAGTGTACTTGGTCTTATGGTAAGGATTGTGTTTCACAACTTGAGGTTATAAGATCAATCCCCACTCACATTAAGATGAGGATTCTCATACCTCCCTCAGGTCCCAGCTATCATAGGGCTTTACCCATTAACCCAAACTCGGTTGATCCATGCCAAAGTCTGGTACCGTAACACCTTTGCCTTACCTATGAGAAAAATAAAACTTATCATTTATAGTTAAATTATTTCAATCTAAATAATACTCACCTAACACAAATAAATATATAGTTACTTTACAAATATAGTTACTTTACAATATTGGGGTTATTTGTGGCTCTTTCATTTGCAGAGTGAGTACAAAAGAGGCATTAGCACTTGGAATTTTAATATAGAAGATGTGAAAGCTCAAGCAGCCCTGGTACCTTTTTATACTCAATGCAAGATTGTAGCTTCATGTTTAGAATTTTGTCATGCATTTTTCGAAAAAAAAATGTTCATACACATATATGTATTTTTATGAAATAACCTTGTACGCACTCCCAGCATATATTTTTAATGTTTAAGTTTGGGATCTTGTAACCATTCAAAACATGATATAATCTCTAAATTATTTTTGAGAAAAATTTGATAATTACCACCTACTATAATTCATGTTTTAGTAATTACCACCAACAATAATTTTTTTCAAAAATTTTACCACCAACAATTTTCTGAAAGATCGAAATTGACCATCTCTTTGCTTAAAGCCTCTTGCATGAAGTCACTTATGGCCCCACTCCATACTTTTCCCTCTTATTTTTCCTTCTAATGATTTTCCCTCCTCTATTAATTAATCTATCTCAAATTTGGGGGAAAAACATCTAAAATTGAAAAGTGAAAATGCACTATGATTAGGGTTTCAAAAATAATTCTCCTTGGTTCAATACTCAAATGCAATCGAGAAAAAAGGCATGTATTGTTGTTTAATGCTTTTGACTACTTAAATTAGGGGTTTTGAAAGGAAATTAGGATTTTTAAATCAAATTGATTATTTGATTATAGTGAGGCATTCGAGGAAATCAACTCAAATAAATTTCGTGAATTACACGATATGATTAACAAAATTATGGTTGTCATTGATGATTAATTTACCATAATAAATAAAAAAAACCTTAATTTACATAGGTTTTTGTCCGATATATGTGTGAGTTTGAAAGCGATAGATTTCCAAAGCTTGATATCCCTCCAATGTTGTCTTTGTTTTTCATATTTTGTCCCCCTATGTTTTCTTTTACAATGAAATTACATATTGAATTGTAACTTTTGAAAGAATTTAACCCCCAAAAAAAATTGAAAAGGAAAGAAGAGAAAGATAGTGATAGAGAGAAATAATGGGAATCTGAATTGCTGGGAAAATTTTGGCGTATTAGCATCACTAGAAGGAATTAAAGAAGAAGAAATAGAAAGTGAAAGAACACAGAAAGGGAAATCGAGAGAAAAAGGGAAAAAAAAAAGCAAAATTGAAGGAAATTAATGACGTTTTAAAAGGGCATTTAGGAAAACTAGTAATTAAATATAAGGTTTTGAACAATTATTGGTGGTAAAATCTAAAAAAAATGTTGATTGTAATTACTAAAACATGAACTAGTAGGTGGTAATTACCAAATTTTTCTTATTTCCATGTAAAAGGTAAATAAAAACAAAATTATGCATTGTCTTGTATTACTCATCTTAATGAATGCCTTAAAATTATCAAATTTTTATATTTTTTGTGTTATGTAATTAGAAATATTAATGATTAAAGATGTGCATTGGAAAATGCGCATAGCCAAAATTAGAGGAAAATTAAAAGAAACAAATGAAGTAGTATTTATTTATTTATTTATATTTATTTTAGTTCAAATGAACCACAATAGCATATAAAATATTTTAACCTTGTGACACATTGTACACAAATTCTCTTTTTACCACCAAGCCAAAATCTCATAGGTTGTAACCTCTTTGCGGAATTTATATTTTAGATGAGAAAAGGTGCGAGATTGCTCATGGTGTCCCAATTAAAATAAATGAGCAAAAGCAGTTAATGGTTTTTGTATCTTAAAGAAAGAACCAAAATCCTTAACTAAAAGAAAAGAAAGAATAAATGTTAATATGATATACAAAGCAAGTATAATGCATATAATAAAAAAATATTGAATCTAATAATATAATTTTCATAATATGAGATATATATGATATGTAGATTCAAGATGATGACAATTTATTTGACAAAGACAATGGATCTGTGGTTGGTAGCTCTACAAATAATCATCCACAAAATTTAGATAACATTTATGTAAGTACCTTTATAATATATGTGTGTGTATGTGTGTCTGTATAACGTATCACATATATATATATATATTTTTTTATCATAATACTAAAAATGCATTGTTTGATGCAGGAGGAGAGCGAATTATCTAATAATCAGACTTCCAAGTATTTCTTTTAATTTATATAAAGCAACATATTTATAGCAACCCGCTTTGTGTGTAAAATAAAAAAAAGTCTCATTTCACCTAATATCCTTTTTTAAGTGTAATATATTTATATTTATAATAATTTGTATCAACCAAACTCCACTACCCTGTTTTACAAATAATTTACCTTTAATAATTTAAATTTTACTATCTTTAAATTTTATTTCGACATCCTAGCTACATATGCAAAAGGTGAATGAGACTTTTATATGAAAATGGAGGGAATATAAAATCTTAATAAGAACTTGCTACTTCAACGTCTTTAATGATTCTTTTCTATGGGTTGTTCTTTCAGAACACATTGTCAGAATTCTGATGATGATTTTGGCATAGCTAGTCCAGAAAATGATAGAGCTGCATCACAATGTAGTTCTCCTCGTCTAACTGAGAACATCGAAAGAAATATGGGTGAATCATCAAACAATGTAGGTGAAGTATCAAGTAATGAAGGCATGCAAAAAATGGTGGAAAAATGTTCACTACCTTTGCATAGTAGAAGGGCAAGCTCATCAGCATGTACTTATACATTAGACATACCAACCAAGACAACCATGAGAGTTGAAAGGTTAAATTCTTAACTAATATCTCTTGGTATATAAGTGTCTTATATATTCAAACTTTTGAATATATATTTTGAATAATGCTTCATGCTTATATTCAGGTAAATTAAAATTGTAATATGTGAGAAAATTGGGTATGTATACAACTAATAAGCTTTAGTGGAAATGGTAGTAAGCTCACCTTATGATATTGAGATTATAAGTTTGATCATAAGGATTCATAACCCTCTTTACTCTTAAATAAGTGGTTCTAGGCGAATGGCATTTTCAAGCATTGTAGTTCTTCTTACCTAGCTAAAAAAGAAATTACTTAATATTCCATATTCTTCTTGTACTTCGTAATAGTCATATTATTCTTGAATTTTCCTCATTATTAGATATAAATAAAGGTGTTACAGGAAAGTCCAAATTACACATTTTAAAAACAATCAAAATGATTTTTGATACAATACCAAAAAAAAAAATGTAATGTAATTGATTTGTGCCTTCATTTCGATCTCTTGCAAACATTTATCCGTTTCTCTTTTTTGTTGAGGTGAAGTTATTTGTTTCACTTAGATACACTTGTTATGTAGAGTTTTACGGTGGAATTATTTTGAGAAAAATATGAAATAAATCATGACAATAATTGTTGTGCCTAAAATGTGCTAATGAAAAAATAATAAAACAAAACATAAAAAATCTCATTTTTTCAATTTTCTTATAATGTTTAAAAATAATTGTTTAATTATATTCTTTTATTGCAGTTTCAAATCACCAAAACATCATGAACGTGTACTCACCAATGAAGGTACAACATGTTCACTAGGGGATGAATCAACTCCAAGAACTTTCCTACCTTCACCAGGCATGTACCTATGCTTTATGTTATCAAAATTTTTAATTTAATTTTCAATAAATTTCAAATTATTTTATGCAAATGTTTAGTGACAAGTAACGTCGATGAAATGAAAGAAAGGGTTATCCAAAAAAAAGGGCGTTTTCAAGTAACTAAAGGCGACCAAGAAAAGGTACCCTATAATATTCAATATATATTTAATTTATCACTTGTCAGTATATCACATTACATTATACACATTTTACTGTGCGTGTTGATATAAAACACATTTGAAGGTTGTGCAAGTATGTGGGGGTGCATGTGTGTACATATACTCCCTCTATATTTTTAAGTGTTACACTTGCTTTGATCAACCGCTTTTTGCTAAGTGTAATACCTCATTTCATGAAAAAAATCCAATATAATTTAACATTATATAATTTTATATAATGCTTCTCATGGTCCTGGCCTATCCATTTTTAAATAAACTATTAACTCCACAATCTTATGAAACACCCATTATCCCACATACATCTTATTATATTAAAGTAAATTAAACCATCTAAAATCATATGCCGTTCAAATTGTAATAATGCTAAAACAAATAAAGTTAGTAATTTGGTGTGTTAAACACACATTGCTCATATCTAAACTTTAATTGCCTTCAAAAGTTTAGGGTTTGTTTGACATCATTAAAGGATTTTTTTTTTCTTTTTTTTTTTAAAATGTACGTCATGTAATGAATCAAAAATTGGTAAAACTTATTAAAGTCATGCTAATTTTGAAAATTGACAACAGAAAAGTAGAAACTACTTTTTCTTGTTTTTGATTTTTTGTTTTTTTTTAAAAAAAAAACTAAAAACAAAAAACGATACCAAACAAGCCCTTAGTTGATCACAAGCTCACAATGTAACGTATGTTTTAAGCTTAAATATAGTTAAAATCACATATTTTCTTCATCCCATAAAATTCTCATTGCTATTTACAAGATCTTTAAGATATACCTTTGACCATTAATATCTTTAATTGCATATTAACAAAAATTATAAGAAATTGATATCATAAAAATACATATTGAGACAAATCTAACAATATCTCCCATGCCCATAATATTTTTTACATGTCAATGAAAATTATTGGTCAGATTTTTCAAAATTTAACCATTAAAAAAATACGAACTATATTATAAGATGAAGGGGTACTAATTTTGTTTTTCATTGATTTACGCTCTTGACTATTGTATCTACAATTCCATGTTATCAATTTCTTATGCATATTGTATTAGAGAAGAATCCTAATAGAACAAATATTATCATCATATGTTTTAATTCTGGTAAAGTGTCTTATGATTATAAAAATTATATATTTATAGGTTATTATTCAAACTCCTACAACGGCTTTACCTTCTCCGAAAAGTGAAAGATTAGCGAATCATTCGAATTGTTTGTTTTCACTACTACAATCTATTTTACAAGCTAATGCCGCTCAAAGGGTATGGTTTATGCACAAAGCATATTATGTCACATTTTAATGGTTTAATTGCTAATAAAAAATATTCTCATTTTGTTCAAAATATATAGGAAAACCTTTTTGGTATGGTGAAACAAATTTCATCCACTTTGGTTAATGGTAATTATATTTCTTTCTCTTCTGAATAAAAAAAATACAAGTTATAGTAAGAATGTAATGCTCACACTATTTTGCTTATTTTTTCAGGAAATTGCAACGGTAATGGAGGATGTACTCATGCTATTATTGTAGCCATTGAAAAATCTTTGGTAAGAATAATCAAGTTTTTAAAAAATGGACACTTGTCAAAACTATTTTAATCATGTATTCGTTAAAAGTTAAACTCATACAAAAAACTTAAAATAAGGTCAAAAGCAACAATAAATCATATCAAATATTTAGTATAAGATCGTGTTTGGTTAGTGTTTTTAAGTGGTGAAAATAGAACTGATTAATTGTTTTCATTACCAATTGTTTGGTATGAGAATAAGCCATAGGGTAACACACTTCATTTTATTAGATTAACCCATTACCACCCAATTTTTGCCTCTTGCAAACCTATGGTAATAATATTTTTTATTCCTTAATCCTTATATAGATATAAAATATTATTTTAATTACATATACAAATGAAACCAGTTATGATAATTCTTAATGTTGGTCTCTGTTCTTATAAGTTTCCTTTCCTATTTATTTTATATTATTTCTTGTAGGGTTTTCTTAAAATATTATAACAAAGAAAAAAGTAGTATACTCATGTTGTGTATTTATGTTTTAATAGCTTGAAATTAGTCAAAACAAAGAGAAGGAACTACATCAAGAGATTACAATGCTTCAATCGAGGTATGTACATTGACCTTTATATAAGTGGTGTACCATGGATTTATAAACAATTTTAATCCTAAAATTATTATTTAACTATTTTCAGGATAAATCGTATTGAAGAAGAGCTCCAAAAATCTAAAACAACACTTAACACTCCTATCAATAATTATTAGAATTATTAGAGTACAAAAGAAAGTAAATTAACTCAATTAAGCTCGGGTATCTATATAAAACATAAATTGTTGTATTGGGAATACTATAATGTGGTTATTTTTGGGTTTAAGGTTAATTTTTTCTCTTTCTTGATGAATGCAATTTCCTAGAGTATTGTATGAATTAATAGACAATTAATTTTGGCTATTGAAATTTACATACATATTCGTTCTATACCCTTTTAGATGTTTTTATCTGGATTTATAAATATGAACTTAATATGCTAGTTGTAGGGAATTTTTCAAACTCAACCTTTGAGCCCCACTGTGATCATGTCTTTAAGCATGGTGGCATTCTAAGGGAAAGAATCTAAAGATAGAAGAGTCGCTAACAAGTTTTAGGAACTCCATAGTGGTCCGGAACCATGACTGGATATTTGGGGTATGGTACGAATCCAATCTAAAAGAGATTGAACCCGCCATAAATCGGCCTCTACTTAATTCTTATGATATTCATGTGCACTTTCCGATCAACATACATACATCAAATTAATCCTAAACCTGTTTAATCTACATTAGTTGATTATTAATGCACAAATAAATCTATTATTGGTGATCACTTAAATTAAAATCATATTAATCCTAAATCAAATTATTAATTATCTTATTAGGCGTGGTTTCAAGTACAAATTCCCCTTAAACCTGCAAGAAGGGGTGTAATCAAGCAATAGAAATAAATCATGAATAATCAAACAACATATAATTGACACAACAAACATCATCAAATCATCATAAAATCATCAAAACAATTTAGCAAGATCCTATGCATGATACTAAATGGATTAATAACAAACCCTAGCATGTCACTAATAAAAAATATCAAAGCTTAAACCTAAACATCATACTAGAAACATGATATTAGAAATATTAATTAACACCCTAAACATTATACTAGGAATCAAATTTAACATCCTAACATGATACTAGGAATCAAATCAACATCCTAACATGATCTCTATATTAAAGGAAAAAATATAAGGGAGATCAAATTACTCACTTTGATGCCTCATACCTCTTTTTATCAAAATAATACACGCGTTAGTAACTTCAAGAAAGATTAAATCAAATAAATACAATAAATAAGAATTGAAATATAGATTTGGGACCATACCCTCAGAATAATCAACCTTTCACGTCGAGGTCGAAGGCAACTTCTAGATTGGCTAGGAGTATTCGAAGCTCGTGATGGAGTATTTGACCGTGATTAGGATCATTAAAAAGCAGATGTTTTATCCGATGTAAAATTCTCGAATCTTTACCTTTTCAAACAAAGGATAAATTAGAACTTTCTAGAGAATTTTAGAAGCTAATAATAAATCCTAAGGGATTTAATTAGGATCCAAAACAACCTTCTAGAGGATTCTAGAAGCTTTTAATAAATCCTAATCGGTTTAGGAATGAGGTTAAGGTTAATGGACCCTCCACACGGTCATTGGGTCGCAGGTAAAGCTCGGTTTGAGCTCGGTTTAGTATTTTGGCAGTAACTTCTTCGTTATAAGTCGGATTTGGGCTTATAATATATCGTTGGAAAGCTCTTTTCAAACCCCATCAAACTAAACAATAATTGGACCATAATTATGGACCAAAATAGACTAGTTTTGATTTTTTTAAGGTTTGGATACAAAATGAATGATTTTTGGTTTTAAAGACATGAAATAATTGATTTTCAAAAGACACGAAATGAATGATTTTGAATTAAAACATTTAAGGAAAGGTTATAAATGGTCAAGGATAAAGGGAATTCACGAGATACTTCAACTCTTTCACCTAACTCGATAATCAAAGACGTGAAAGGTACTCATCACTAGGTTTGGTTTTTGGAGAGACACAACCAGGTGTCTACAGAAGCCCCCACTTTGACTGAGTTTGGAGAAATGTAAGTTTTGAAAACAAAAGTCAAAGTAGATCGATAGGGACGGAGAATGATTCAGAACGTTCGGCGATCCTAAATCATTCTTTTTAAAACTGATACCTGCAGAAAAACATTAGTTCCACAAATAAAGGAGTTAGAAACGCGTATCTTGCACCGTCAGGTACACGTCTCTGCGCGACATCAATTTGCTAAATCGAAATTGCTTTGCTTAGCAAACTCCACATCATAGAGAGCGCCATTGAAGATTGCATTGCTTAGCCACCTTCAGTTTAAAGTGACATCCTCCACATCTTAGGGAACGTTGTCGAAGATCGTAGTTCTTAGCAATCTTAAAACTTCGAAGATCACAGTGCTTAGCGGTCTTCAAGTCTTTAGGGGACAACCTCCACATCCTAGTGCTTAGCGGTCTTCAAGTATCTCTCCTATTTTGTTATTCTATTTACTTAATTTTGTATCTTTTCATCCTTAATTACTTGTTTATGTTATATTAGTGTTTGATTTCATGTTCTTAGTTGTTAATTCCTTTAGTTTTGCAATTTATTATGATTTTACTTGGGATGGTTGAAACCATTGATGATTCACAAATACTTGTTCGTATGTGTTGATTTAGCTAATGTGGGATGTTGATTAGTTGAGTTTAAGTGGTTTCATTGTTAGTTCTTGTAAGTGGCCATTGCTAGAACTATTTATCTAAGCTTTCTCAACGAAGGATCGAGAGATGAACTTGAGTTAGCTCGCTTATGCTTAATTGACTTAAAATGCCATGAGAATAGGAATTTCTAGTCAAGGGAATGTTTATGTCATTGTGATTATGCTTTACCACTTATTTTATGCTTTGTAACCACGAGAGTAGGTTATATTCATTACTCAAGTAATACCTCTAGATTGAGAGAGTAGTTGGGTGCCTTAGATGACTTCCCCTAATTTATCCCCAAATTGTTATTTTTTGTACGTTAAATTGTAGTTTTTGAATAATTTAATTAGTGGATACCTTCCCAAGATCCTTTTTATTATTGTTTGTAGTTTTTCTTCATAACTCATAATCCAAAAAGACTTGACTTAGATTATTAATAATTGATATTTGTTAGTTCTCCCCTTAGTCCTAGTGGGATCGACCCTTACTTGCCCTTTTTACCCATTAGAGAGACCAAGTTAGGTTTTCATCTTTGGTAGGTTTGACGACGACCTATCAAATTTTGGCGCCGTTGCCGGGGACATCGGTTGACATTGTCTAATTATTGATTAGATGAGTCTAAGTCTTTGTACATAAATTTTTTTTTTGTTTATTTTCCCCTTTTCTTCTTCTTTTTTATATTTTATTTTGGGGTATCTTCCATTGAAATAATTGGCAATTTTTTCCCTTCCCTAATACGAGAATGAAACATTTTGGAGATATTACCGTAGGGTTAATGATTATGTTGGTTATAATTATGGTCATAGACTTTTAAAGTTAGATATTTGTGAAGTAGTTTTGAAGGTTTAAATGATGAAATGCGAGTTGTTGTTGAATCTATGTCCGAAGGTCAATTTATGTCTAAGACCATTAATGAGAATTGGAGTATGTTTGAATGGCTAGCTAAAGATACTTATGATTGGGAGATGGCTAATCATGAGGCGTATGACCATTTTAATGATGAGAACTCATTTGAAGAATGTGGTGATAATGTTTTGGATTCTAATGATTCGAGTTTTGGTGATGCAAATTGTCAAAATTCCCCAACTTTTTTCTTGGATTCCAATTTTATGTCATGCACTCCTTATGATGTGGCTAATGTGCATAATGTTGACACCTCTTCCCAATGTGATTTTCGAAATTTCTCCCATCCTCAAGAACCCAAGTCCTCTTTAGAGCTCGCTCTAGAATGTTTTTTGGAGGGTAGTGAAGTGATTTCTAAGAATCTAATGGACATAAAGAGCAATTGTACATCCATGAATCATCATAGTGAAGCTTGTAGGGTTCAAATGAATGAAAATGAAAATTTTGAGAAGCCTCTTCTTGAAAAACCTTTGGTTGATGACCCTATTTTTCCAAAATCATCAATTTGTATAATGAGCCTAATGTACCATTAATTATGAATGATGACAAAGTTGATGATTGTTTGTTGAATTCCACTAATGATATAAGTCTACTTAAGTCCAAATATAATGTTGATGGTATTCTTCAATTTGATTATATTGATGATTATTCAAGAGGTGTTGAGGAATTGGAAAGAGTAGCCTAGATATTCATAATGAATTTTGGGAAAGTAAGGATAAAAGGTAGGAAGTGGAGGAAAGTCCTTCTTTTGAGGACCACTGATTTGAGAGTGAGGTGATTGTTGAGTCTTTACCAATTGACCATTCTTTTTTTGAGCCTCATGTCCCTTTCTCAAAAACTCTTGATATTAATGTCTCATTTCCAAGCCTTTGCCCCCCTTCCCTTCGCAAGTTCACTTCACAAAAGCCTCTTTGTTTTTCATTATATGATTTGCATGATCAATTTCTAACCAACGATACTCAATTGGGTGAATTCGATGTAAATATGGTTTTTGATTTACCAAATGAATCTCCAATAAAGTGTTTTGTTGATAGTTATACTTTTATTTTTCCTTCTTCTTTTCAATCTAGGACCTTTTTTTAGATCTTTTCATTTCTATTTTAGGAAACTTTGTAGATTAATGTATATCCTTTTCTTCTTCTCTTTAAATTTTCTTCTTATTTTTATGGTTGCAATTTCTGAAATGTGCTCAAGTGCATATGATAAGCTCCTTAGGAGTTTGTCAAATAACTTACTAGCTAAGGTCTAGCCAAAGACAGAAAAGAAAAGCAAATTTTCTTTTCCTTTTTTTTATTTGTTTATTTTTGAATAACAATGTGCATGGATTTTAATGTATGAGCTTTATGAAATGATTCTCAATTAGGTACTCTTTATCACTTCATTCAAAATTACATCATATAGTCTCAAATTCACAAGAATTTTGGAGGTTTTGCTACATTGGAAAGACACAACATAATCTACAATGTTTTGAAGAATTTATGAAGAATTTTGCATCAAATTGAGTAATATCTCTTCCTCTCTTCATCCCTTCTCAAGCTATTGATTTTAAAATTATTTTTGCCATTCATTGGTTTCTTGTTAAAGAGTTTGGTTTGGGGCTAGATTTTATTGTTGTGATTTTCGTTGTAGTTATGGATGTTGGATTGGATGTACTTTGTTGAGATTGATTGTGTTCCCTTCCCTCCCTCCCTT